TGCAAATATACAGATGCCCCTCTGGGAAAAATAAACAGCCTGTATGCTGAACCTGTAAACGTGGACACCAGAAAGCCTGGCTATGAGTTGGAGGAGGCAGGAGAGAGCTGGGTGGGGCCTGGGCCTTGGAGAGATTGGTACCAGTGAGGTAAGATCAGATGCACTTGAGGGTTTAACGATAGAATAGGGCTTGAGGCCCACTGTGGAACAAGCTATGTGATTTCAGGCAAGTGATTTAACCTATCTGGAGTTGTTTTCTTATCTGAAAAAATTCAGGAGAGTTTCGAGGCTCAAAGGAATTATCAGGTGTAACAGTGATTGGTAAAGTGAAAAATAATCATTCACTCATGCCAACAAATGTTTATTAAGAGCCTACAATGGAGGAGGTCTGGTTCTGGGCACCTAGCATTCATCAGTGCACAAACAGACAAAAATCCTTGATAGAACTTGCATTCTAGTGGAGGGAGACCCTAAACATAAAAATAAATGTAAGTAAATGATATAGAATGTTGGAAGTTGATAGCTACCATGGAAAAAATAAATCAGAATAAGAGGAATCAGGAGGGCTGGGGATGGTGGGTTGTAAGTATAAATAGTGTGGTCAGAGTGGTGTCTCTGACAATGTGCTGTTGGTGCAGAGAGAAGTAAAGAAGGTGAGGGATTTAGCCTTGTGAATATCTGTGGGACAAGTGTTCCAGGGGAGGTGTGCTACGAAGTGGTTGAATTGGGGCCATAATGGAAAGGAAGAGTCAGCAGGATGTCATTGCTGCATTGGGTGTGGGGTGTCAGGGCACAAAAGGAGTCAAGGATGCCTCCAGGGTTCAGTCTGAATCATAGGAAGGATGGAGTTGCCATAAACCAGGTGGCAAAGATGGAGGAGAAAGCAGGCTTGGAGATGGTGGGAAGATCAGGAGTCCAGACTGGGACATGCTAAGTTTGAGGTGCCTTTTAAATGTCCAGGTGGAGTTGTCAAATAGTAGTTGGATAATCATGGCTGGTGTACAGGAGGGAGGATGGTCTGGAGATATAAATTTGGGAGTTGGGAGCCTATGGGTGGTTTTTAAAGCCATAAGACAGGACAAAGTCACCTAAGGAGTGAATGTAGAAGGGACCAGAGGACTAAGGATGGAGCCCTTCCTTGGGCTGGAATAGAAGGGGAGGCCCCAGCAAAGGAGACTGAGAAGGAGCAGCTGGTCAGAAGGAGAGCCAGAAATACCCTAAAAGTTAACAGAAGAAAGTATCTAGGAGGAAGAAGTGATCAACTGTGTCATGTAACATGCGAGGTCGTTCCTACCACTGCACCCTGAGCTGTGGGGTGGTTTCTGCCTGCAACCCCTGGGGACTGTTTCAGGCCCAATGAACAAGCAGCATCAATATGCCTAGTGGGAACCACACTAACCACAGGGAGGTTTTCCCAAGGGGATGGAGGCAAAATGGCTTCAGTATGTCATCTATAAACTGAGGAAATTAGGCCAAATCAGTGACTTTAGTCTGGGCTCTCACAAATCTTAGGGTTCTGTTAAGGGCCTTTGGGACCCCTGTAGCGGTCACCTGGGGAGGTTCCCCCCACCACTTTATCATAATTGCTACCTTTCATCTGTTTTTATGTTGGACTTTTGTATAAGATGTGTTTGAAAAAGGGATTCAGTTGCCAGATAGAGTTTGAAAGAGCACTGACCTGAAGCAAGTCCTTCTGGCTCTGACATCCTGGGGGGCCTAGGCTACCCCAGGAACAGGAATCTCACACTGTGCTTTGGCTTTGTCCTTGGAGACAGGCCAGGACAGTGTGTCCTGCTGAGGCTCAAAGAAGCACTGAGTGAGGTGGGATGTGGCACAGGAGAGAGGTAAATGATGTGCTTGGAAACTTGTAGAGCTCCAGGACCCAAAAGGGATGGAAGAGAGAAGAAAGGGAATGAGAAGAATCAATACCACAAACAAGCAGAACTTGTAGAACGCAGGGGCCATAACCATATGCTTCAAACTCAAACATGATTCTCCTCTCCCCATCCTCACAATTATTTGCAATTCTGCTCGCTGCCTAATGCAAAGCTCTTCTTTTTGTTCGTCCTCCACTGCTACATCCTCACCTCCCAGGTGGCATTTCTGATACAAGGGAGCAGAGGTAGAACTCATCAAAGCTAGCTCTGAACTAAAAATAACCCCGTCCAGCCAGACACTCCCCCACCTTCCGTGCCAAAGTGATTGCTTTCATTTGTCGAAGTTGGCACTTTCACTTGTGGCTTTAAAAGGTCTGAGGTTCAAAACCATCTTGCCTCTGTATGAAAAAAATACGTGTATTTTTTGCTAAGGGGTTTTGTGGCTAAATCAATTTTACATAAACAGAAAGGATCAGTCTTGAATTCCTAAACCCCAATGTAGAAAATGGTGACTTTGGGATATTGTGACTCACAGGGTGTTGTTTTATTCTCACCAAAAATGCCTAATCTGGTCGATGCTATGGAGAGCAGTCAATGTGGTAGATTATATCATATAACCAAGGGTCTGAGGTCTGAAACCTGGGTTCCCATCCCAATGCCATCCCTTACTGACTGTGCCACCTTGGGCAAGGTCTTCTCTCTCGTCCTCAGTTTCCTCCCCTGTAAGAGTGCCCACCTTGTGGGGGTATTCTTGGGATAAAAAGAAATGACATGACATTTATATGCCCTTTCTTTGGGACATTGAGTGCTTGACGCGTGTCAGCTGTTATTGTTGGGATTACCATTCCCCAGCATCGGAAAACCTCTGATATTATGGCACTCATCAGATTATACTGAATAGTTCACTCACATGTTAATCTTTACAGGTTAGACTGTGTCTTCTTCATCTCTGTGTCTCTAGTACCACACCGGACACATAATAGGCACTTAAATGTATTTGCTCAATGAATGAAGGAAGCCATATAATGTAAGTGCCATTTGAACAGGGGTATTTGATTCATTCATCTGGCATACAGTGGACACAGAATAAATATCTGTGGCCTGTGAAATGAACCATGAATCAATGGAACTTCACTCACAGGCCCACCATGAGTCTGGCGCTAACCACTGGCTAACTGGCTGGATATCTTCCTCTGTTTCTGGATTCTTCACACTGAAAATCTTTCCTTTTCAAAGCTTGCTTCTCTTTGAAGAACAGAAAAGGAATGATTGTTCATTATTCCTTTATACCGATTTCTTCCTGTGAAATGGCACCTCACTCTAATTCAAAGTTGAAAGCTGTGTCTGCAAAGACTCTTGGATCTTACAGCTGGAAGAAGCCTGCCTAGCTCTCCTGGTGCAGCCCTGCTGCCTTCAGTCTGGGTATCAGATGGATTTTGCAAACCAGACACCTGAGAAGCTAGCGGATTAATAGATGGGTGTGAAACTGCACAGCCGCCAGCTGATGAGTGAGCTTAGTGGGTGAGCGAAGTTCCTGACTTTAGAAGCAGAAAGTCCTCAGTTCACAGTTGGGCTGGCCACAGCTCCCTGAACCCCTGGGCCGGTGTCTCTCCACAATGCCATGCTGCTGCCCCGGGGAAAAAGAAACATGGCTTTGTTTTCTCTCTTTGGTTGTGATTAACACCAGGTCCTGTTTATGGAGGTCTGCCATGTGTCAGAATCTGTGCTGAGCAATTTCCCAATATTCTGTCACTGATCCCTCCAACCCCATTGTTGAGGTCAGTGTTGTCAGTTCCACTGCGCATCCAGGGAAACTATCTCAGAGAAGCTCAGGGACTCACTCAAGGCAACGCGGTGAAGGTGCAGGAGCAGGGATTCCCACTCCAGCCACCTGGTTCTCCCATTAACCCTATTGGCTGCTTGTAACAAGGATGCCATGTGACCCATTGAAAAGTCTTTAAATGTTCTGATGATGCTAAGACAGTCTAGACTGTGCAGAGGCAGCTGGTCAATTCTCCATGGGGGAAATATCAGCCATTAGATGATCCATTGATTTAATCAGATTGGCAGTGTGGAATTGTAAAGATGAAGCAACTTTGTCTAATACTTTCCCTTATGATGTGTTTTTTGTGGTTTTATTGGTCCCTCTCCATCTTCCTTTCAGTCCTTCATTTGGGAAATAGTTCAGTGTCTACTAGGTGCCAGGCTCTGGTGTAACAGGAAGCTCACATGCCACTGCAAATATCTAGTCCAGTTTTGTGATTGGAAAGACCAGCGTGACACTTATTGATTCAAACACTATCTGAACCGATTTAACCTAGTGTTCCTCTTGACTGACTGAGGTCTGCCTCTTCTTCCCACTTCCCCAGGGAACAAATTCACCTGCCAAATAAGTGGACCTGAAGCAGGGCCCACTGGACAATGGGAGGAGATGTTTACTCTTTATCAGGCTACGCTCGCTGTAATTTTGAACCCAACAATGCCTTGTTATTATCAATTATTTAGACTCACACAGTTTACAAATAGTCCCATCAAACTAGTTCTATTAATATTCACGATAGCCCTGTATAGTAGGGTGGATAAGTGTTAGCATCCTACTTTTGCACAAGAGGAAGCTGAGGGTGGGAGACATGAAGTATCTTGCCCTGGGTCACCAAGTAAGTGGCAGCACTGAGCATCTGACTCCTAGTCCAGAACTCTTTCTGCACTTCCTAATACCTCTGCATGAGTTTTGTTGGTGCTCAAGTATTTTGAGAATCTGGATTAAATATCCCAGGGTGGGGGGTGGGGTGTCAAGAGTCCACAGGGACCCCATCTGCAGGTTACCCCAGCCTTTGGATCCCCCAACCCTTGGATGTGTGGAGTTATCCTGTCCCTCCTCTGCAACCTCTTAGATCTCAGTGGAACCTTGAGTCTGACCCTGACCCCTACCTTTCCACTTTCAGCTGTGGGAGGGAAGGGACTCCTCATGGACCACCTCTCCCTACCCCAACCCAGAGCATTTTGATTTGGGCTTCAGATGCTCCTATTGGAAGATCAGGAAGTCTGTAGATCATCTACTCAGAAGGGAGAGAAGGAACTGTGGGAGGAGGTAACCTCTGGAGCAGCAGAGCTTCTGTGGGCCAACTTCCCACTGGCCCCAAAGTAAGGAGCCTCCATCATGAGCTACTTGAGCCTCCCCCATTATGGGACTTTCTGAAGGAATCTGTGGCCCAGCCTGAGCACACTCTTTCTGAAGGAAAACACCAGTGTCGAGGCTTACAAAGCCCAGGGCACCTCAGCTCAGCTGTAAAATCCACTCCATCCCTACACAAAAGAGTTTGCTCCATATTGCACTGGGTACCTGGAAAGATAGGGTGTACCCTGTGGGAGACATGCTCCCAGGCAGGTTTTTAATTTGCCAAAAATTTTCCGTCACAAGGGCTGTCACAGCAGAAATCCTTATGTATTCCACTCATGGAATCTCTGTTATGGATCTTAATCACTCATCATGTTTTCCTTAAAATGAGTTTTCTATGAAAAGAGAAGTAGGAGGTTATTGATCGTACATCATATATCAAGGAAAGCTTCAGTTTGTTTTTATTTGGGTGAATTGAGGAGAAGTACTTGTTATTGCAGCAGAAGCCTGGGAAACAGGCAGCCACTGTGTATTTGTGTGTGTGTGTGTGTGTGTGTGTGTGTGTGTGTGATGCATGTGCTTGCATACATGTGCCTACATCAGCTCAGCAGAATTGTCAGAAATCAAACATTTGCCATAACTTCTAAGTTTTGATAGCTAAATTTTTGTAGACTGGCATGTAGGTAGTTTTAACATCTTCCAAAACTCTAGCCACGCTGTCTTTGGAGGGACAATCCCAGGTCACACCTGAACGTACCCCATTAAGCTTGTCTTACGGCTGGAAAAAAATTGTACCATTTTCTTTTGGAATTATTTTGCTATGTGTATAGCTCACCTGTTTAACAATGGGCTCCAATTTCTCTACTGTTGTCATATATCCTCAGGCACTCTTACAAAATGAGAAAAATCTAACCAGCCTCCCTACTGTAATCTAACCCCCACCCCCAACTGTAATGAAATTGTTATGAATATTGAAGTCAACATTCATGATGTTGATTTCATGCTACAGATTTTAGCCACTTAATTACACAGTTATCAGTTATGGCTTTGCAGTTTTCTCTTCATGCTTTGGAGCTGATAATTTTTTACTTATAAGGCATCAGATATTTCTGTAGGCCCGAGAAGAGGCCCTAGAACTGAGTTGCCTAATGGAAAAAATGGTCCTGTGCTGTGACAAGAAACTGAGTTGAGATTAGCCTAAGAAAGGTCACCACGAGCATTCCACTGCCCAACTGAGGTATCTCCACACACACACACACACACACACACACACTCTCACAACCATGCTCTGTAGTTGTTGAGATCGTTGGAATCTAGTGCAGAGTCAGCAGTGAGCCATCTCCTGCCTCTCCTGCTCTTTGTGGATGGTGCCATGTGTTGTCTGCAAATCTGGATAGGAAGTCTGGTTCTATAGGTGTTTGGGCTCAGAGATGTGTAATGAAAGTACAGGTGGCGCCTACAGGGTGGTGTCGTGTTTATACGGTTCAGTGGTCCCTTTGCTTACAATTACATGGAACATTGATGCAGCCCTTGGGGTTTGATTAAGTGGCCAACCTTCCATTTTAGAGAGAAGAAAAGAAAAGAGCACCAGGCAGGAAGAAAACCACTGGGAGATTCACCAGAGACTTCCCAGGATGGAGAACTTTTCTAGCTCAGTCACTTTACCATCTGCACTTTCCCAACTGCATTTTCAAAGACTTGTCAAATGTTTCTAAAAAGTCAGGACTTTGGTGAAGAGATGCAGAAGGGCAGTGCTGAGTGTCTGTTCTTGGCCAGGCTAGATGCTGGTGAGACAGCGATGGATGTGGTGCAGTTGGTGCCCTTCAGGAGCTTTCATCAAACACAGGACGCCGTGAGCTGTAATGGAGGCTGGAGACAGCAACAGGGGAAGGGCTGGGGCACAGGCCGCAAGCCCTGTCACAGGTAGCTGGGAACTCTGAGCAGAGGAGCCAAGGATGCCCTGTTCCTACATGCCCAAGCTCCGTCACCTGCAATAACTGGGTGTGGCCCAGGCTGGAGTTACCATAACTCTGCCACTGTCACCCTAAAAGCCACCTCCATCTTCTTTCAATCATAGCTCTGCTTAGTAGATGCTTGTGAAGCACCTACCTCATGGTAGGTTTTGTGCCAGGAGCTGGGGGTCCAGCAGTGAATGGGAACGGCCAGGCCCCAAGCTTGCGAGGCTGCCCAGGAAATGTAAATGTTGTGCGAATAATTACAAGATCGGCAGGAGTGACAAAAAAGGGAGTGCAGAGTTCAGTGGGCTTCAGTGACATGAGGAAGGGAGTTGGGTTGTCAGTGGCTTTCAGACTTGGTATGACCCTTTGGTTTGGAATGTAGCCTTTCTCGGAAACTCAATTCATGAAACATGAAAAAGCAGAGTTGTTTTGGTCCCATCTGCATCCCCTTTGTGTATAGTGGACCCTCCTGCTGTATGGAACCCAGTTTGAAAACTGGTGGGTGAGATGATCCCTAAACAGCCTTCCAGGAGCCCAAGCTATTCTAGGATTCTGTGACTTGTTGATGACAGGTGAGGTCCCTTCCATTCCATATCCTCATGATGTTGTGTCTCAAATCCTGAACTATTAGTTGGAGTAGGGCTAGCATTTTATTTTGTATGGATGCCAGATGCACACTCTTTATTTTTCTTTAGGGGACTGGAGGAGTATGAATGTCAAAGCCTCCATCCAAGGAGCCTGCCTGCAGGAGAGGAAAGAGGGATGATGTGTAGTTAGTTTGTTCTGTCCAGAGTGACTCTCAGCTGGAGGGACCGGGGTGGTGCTTTTGCTCCCATCAACCCATCTGCCACAGTGACCAGAGCTACTGAACCCCAGCCCTACTCAGAATGTCCCAGGAACCCACATACCATAGTCAGCTTCCTGGAGCCTCACTTGAGTCCTCTTCTCCACCTCCTCCTGGTCCCAGTCTGCTCCTCCTGATACCCTAGATCAGCTTTGCTCTGATAGTATTATTTCCCTAATGGCTGCACGGTCAAGTTTGAGCTCCTGTTCCTGGTATCCCCTAATCCTGCCTCAGTGGAACCTCTGTATCCTCCCAGTCTACTTGCATCCTCCTCTGAACACTTTCATTACTAATTCTAAGCTTCTACTCAAGCTATTCGTCCACCTGGAACAACTCCTTTCCTCACTCCTTTCAGCTGCACTTCCCCAAGCCAAGCCCTATATCCATCCTAGGGCTGCCCCAGAATGAGCATCTTTTCCTGTCTTTGAAATCCATTTTTGCTTACTGTCTGAAATACTTTAGCTATAGGTCCTTGTCCTTATGTTGTTGGAAATCTTTTGCTGTGGCTGTGACCTGCCTCTCCCACTAGCCCATAAGCTTTTAGAGGAAAGAGTGTTGATCTTCCAGTTCTTTTGTCCCTTTTCCTGCCCTGTACTCAGTAAAGCTATCACCTGATCAGCTCTTCCTGAATTGGAACACAAACCATGTATTCAGTGAGAGCATTCTGATTGCTAAAGGTGGCCCGAGGTGAAGGTGCCATCCTTGACCAATAAGAACACTTGATTTTAACTGGCCAATCTGATGTCAGATTGTATTTGCCTGTTAGTGTCAGAGACCAAACTAACAGTGACTTAAACAAGAGAGGGAGTTGATTTTCTCTCTCATAAGAGTGCAAGGCAGGGAGGCAGTCCAAGGTCCATTATCTTTTGGCTCTGCCATCCTTAGCATGTGGTTTGCATTCTAAAGATACCCTCATTGTCCCAAGATGACTGCTACAGCTTCAGTCATTGCTTCTACATCTTATGCAGGATGAAAAATGATGAAGGGTGGGAGAAAGGGTGCCTTCCAGTGGATTAGCCCTTCTTCTGAGGAGCTTCATCCATGCCTCACTCAATAATCCTGCTTTTATCTCATTGGCCAACAGTTAGCTCCCCAGCCACCACTTCTCCAATGGAGGCTAAGAAATTTAGTTCTTCAGCTGGACATATTTTTCCCACCACCATTACCCAATCAGAATTCTTTAGTAAGAAAGAAGACAGGAAGGGATACTGATTGAGTTGGCAGGCAGCAGTGCCTGTTGTAACTGGTCAATGACACTATGGTGTTCCAGGCTGAGGAGGTCTCTGTCAAGAAGGCAACAGATTTTTTTTTTCCAGTCCATGCTTTATGGTTTTCTGCCAGTGAATCCAAGGACTTCAAAGGTTGGGTTTCTCCAAAACTTCATCCTCAGACAAGTGTTTCTTGAATGTTTCACCCTGAGCCCCCAAAGTCACTGACTATAATTGGCCTCATGAAGAGATGATGGCTGACACGGTTGTCATGAGCAGCTGAGCCTTTAGCACTGAGGAATGGTCCTGGGGTTTGGGATTACTTTTAAAATTTGCTGAAGCCAGGCCACACCCTCTGCATTTAAATTCACTGTCACCAGTACTTGCTAATGAGCATAATCTTGATTCCATACAACTTGGAGCTTCAACACAGATTTAATTTACTATTTCTGTGGGTTTTAATTTAACAACCTGATTAATAAGAGTAAATTCTGATTTTTAAAAATGATTGATTTGCTTTTAAAATTGCTCTGATGGGTAAAGGGACTCTAAAAGCAATTAGCATTGGACCAGAAAGCTCTCCACCTGGTGATTTTATGGTCAAACCTTGTTTATTTCCAAAGGAAGACAGTGATCTTCCAGACTGGTCACTCATCCAAGCTCACCAGAGAAGACTTCAGCTAGATATCACCCCTGCTTTTATCATTGCTCACGACATTCTCTACCTAGAAGGAGAGTCCAATTTTAGCCACCTCTGTTTTCTGTCTGCAGGGCATTTAGTGTTTAGAGTTGAGAGTGAAGTGTCTTGTTTGTGGATTACCATGGATTGGTAGATCAAGGTAGAAAAGATGGACAAAATCAAGCATGATAGAGGCAAGAGATCCTTTATAAGCAAGCAGACACTTTGGTGGGCCTGAAAAATATATCTGTGAGGCCACTTGTAAAAGAAGTAGATGCTTCATTCCCTGGTTTTAGAGTTCTTTATGAAAGTAGAGTTTCATAGAACTTGTCTGGCAAAGGGAATTGGAGCAAGATTTGGTTTTGACCTTGGATAAAAAAGTGCTTGGTGTCTTCAGATTCTTTCAGATGCAAGTCACAAAACATCCAATGCAAACATCCATAAAGGGGAGATACTGGCTCATGTTAATGAGAGGTCCAGGGACAGGGCTGGTTCAAAGACTGCCGGATTGAGGCTCCCACATTCCTGGGGCTCCGCTGCCCTTGGCACCTCTCAGCTATATCTGCCTCCCTGTGGGTTTATCTGCAGCTTGTCTTCTCGTGTGTTAGCCAGATGGCTGTCACTACCCAGATCCAACTTCCTCGTAGTATATCAGGAGAAGAGCACAACCTTTCCCTTCCCAGACATCCCCATAAACATCCCCTGGTGCTCATTGGTTCTGACTGAGTGTTGGTTGGGCCCGTTCCTGACCCAATCACTGTGGTGGTGGGGTCACTCATGCTGGAATGAAGTTTCCTCCAGAAGGAGGGTGGTCCCAGAGAGCTGGAGACCAAACAGTTCCAACATCCAGAAACTCCAGAAGATGGAATTGGGATCTAGAATGGCAAAGAGAGGAGGTTTTGTGGAGCCACTGGGCCTATAGCAAGAAAGCTATTCTTTCAGGCTGGAGCTGATATATAGATTGGTGTCCTGTGCTCTGTCCTCACCAGCAATGTTCATTCGTTCATTCATTCAGTTGTTTGTTCATTCACCCCACACACAATTCTGCTGGGTGCCTGCTCAGGCCAGAGCCTGTGCTAGGTTCTGGGACTATGAAGCTGAAACATTCATCTCCTGACTCCGAGAACTCAGAGCCAAGCAGAGGAGACAGACACGGCATGTGAACAAGTGTGACAGAAGGCTTGAATGTGGGGATGAGGACCAGGGAAAGGGCGGGGGGAAGGGAGATGAAGGAAGTTCTGTATTAGACCAATTAGGCTTTGAGGAGGGAAGCAAAAGGGCAGGGGTGTATTATCCCCCAAATTGGAACTGATTTTGGGCAAGTGTTGGGGGCAGGCCTTGGTGGGTGGGCAAAGCGCAGAGGGAGCTAAGCAGGAACAGCGGGTAGAAGAAAGTGAAGGGTGAGCTGGGGAGACCACCAGTGAGTGGGGGAGATAGTCACCCTCTGCTGGTCTGCACTGTCCGTTCAACTGAAACAGTTCCTTCTGCTAAACACTTATCACCTACTAAGTGTTTCACAAAACAGTATCTCATGCAGTCTTCACAGTAGTCCCATGAGGTATGAGCTGTCCTTGGCCACGCAGACCCAGGGAGGTCATGTGACTTGTCTCAGCAACCATTGTCTGTAAGTAGGAGAACTGGGACTCACACCCGGTCCTGCTGAGATGGGGTTGTGCCTGCTCCCACCCCTGCCCTGCACCCTGGAACAGTCTGATTGAAAAAGGCCACTGCTCCTGAGCACGGATTTGACCAGGCCCTGGCCTAGGGGCCCTGAGATCCCTTCTGGTGCTGAGTTTATGATTTGGAGGAAGATGGAAGGTCCGGATTTGGATGGGGCTGAACTGAGAGGACATTGTGGCAGCACCACAGGTGAGGGAAGTTAGAGGCTTTGTCGAGGGAGGCACCCTGGTCCAGAGAATGGCCTCTGTGATGGTCCAATGAAGGCATCCTATGGCCAGATTTCTCAGCTACAGGAGATATCCCATGACAAGAGACCCTTCTAACTGAGGCTGCTCCTAACTTTTAGCCAATAAAAAGCAAATGCAGTTTTACTGGAAACAGAGACCCTGACTTGCCTGGGAGTAAATAGCCAAGGCCATAGGAACACATCTCCATCCTGGTCTTGCAGAGAATGAAGAAATTTGTCAGGGCTTCCTAGTACCGGACACAAAAATGGGGTATTTTTATGCGATGTTTTTATAGTGACTGTCATAACCGGCAATATTCCTAAAACTTACTGGGGGTAATCATGGTTTTATTTCATCCCTATAAAAGTCTTTTGTTTAGAGCAGCCTATAATATTCTGTAAATCTCCATATAAATGCTACCCATTCATTTTTCACATGGGCCAGGTAGTAGCTTCAGCTGATCTCTGAGGACAGTTTGGCTTTATTTATTGAAGTAGTCCTCCTAACTTGGGGAAAATTTAATTCAATCTGAGCTAGTTCAATTCAGCCAGATTTTATTGAGCTGACTATGAGCCTCACACTGTTCTAGGCCAGGAGATGTAAAGTTAAGTAGGATAGAATTCCTGCCTTCTGGGATGTTTCAGTTAACTATTGCAGCGTAATGAACTACCGCAAATCTTATGGCTTAAAGCAACCATTTTACTTTACTCTTAACTTTGTGCATTACGAAGCTGGGAAGGGCTCAGCTGGGCAGTTCATATCTGATGCACATCTCTGGGGTGGCTTGGGTTGGAGGACCCACACTGGAAACGGCTTCCTTACACATTTGGTGCCTTGATGCTTTTCCACCCATCTCTCTTTACATAGCATCTCATCTTCCAGGGCCTCTCCACCTGGCTTGAGTTTCCTACACCATGAAGGTCTCAGGGTCATTGCCCTTCTCCTATGATGCCTGGCTTCCAAGAGCCAGAAGGTGGAAACTTCCAGATCAATTCATGACTCTGTCCAAAATTGGCAGTGTCACTTTCGCCATGGGCTTAAGCAGTCCCAAGGCACAAAGCGCCATTCATTTTCCAGGGAGTAGGAGGAATTCCACTTCCTGATGGAGGAGTGGTAAGATCCTACTGCAGAAGAGCTGGGAGACATTGTTGCATCCATCTTTGGTCAAGTACAGTCTATGCCATTTAGTCAATTATAATGTCGGCTAATACCCACAGCCATGAAAGTACCAGCAAGTTGAAAGAGGAGCTCAGAGGTGGATGGAGTACCAGGCACTTTAATGGGGTGGGAGTGGGGAGAGGGTAGAGAAGCCTTCCAGGAGAAAGAGGACGCTGAACTGTGTTTTGAAAGATGACTTGTTTTGTGCATTTCAGGGAAAAGAAACAGTCTATGTGAAGATGTGATGGTGAGGTCCTCAAGAAGGGTTTACCCGGAAACTCCCCAAACACTTCATTGCTTGTATTTAATTTAGTTAATGTTTTATGTATGTGTGTGTATTTACATATGTATATATATAAATAGTTCTATATTATACAATATATAACATTATATATTAATTATTATATCAATTAATATATTAATAGATAAATAGAAATACATACACACATATATGCATATATACCATACATGTGTGTATATATATATTTTTTATATACATACATATATATATATTTTTTTAAACAGAGACCTTCATTCAGTCTTTCATTCAGCAAACATGCCCTGAGCACCTGATGTATGCCAGACAGTGTTCTAGATACTGAGGATGTGGTGTTGAAGAAAACAAAGGTGGTGAACAAGAGGCCTGTTCTTGGAGCTTATGTTTTATGCTGGAGACCAGCAGTCAACAAAGGGACATTACAATACATGAAGTGATTTCGGGTAGTGCTGAGATAAGGTAGAGACCTTATCTGTTTTAGATAGGGCAGCTGGAAAGCCTATCTCAGGAGGTGACACTTAAGTAGAAGCAGGGGTAGGGGGTGATCTTGGACAGAGAGTTCCAGGCAGAGGGAATGGCAGGGCATGTGTGTGTGAACTGCTTCAGCACATATTGTCCACCTTGCACCATGGTTCTCCGTAAACCTGCTTTGTTGCACTGTGGGCTCTCTGAGGTGACCGGCGAGAGCGAGGGCAGGACTCCTGTCCAGAGCTCTGCTGCTCTGAGCTGTGGAGCAGGGCAGCTGCAGGTGGAGGATGGTCAGCTTTCAGGCCTGGAGCTCCAGGGTGAGGGCTTCCCAGGGTGGTGAGAAGTCTGTTCTGTCCAGACACCTTCCCTGCCTGCTGTTCCTGGCACTGGGAGATTTGTTTTCACTTAGGGAGAACCTGGCCTCATCCACAGCGTCAGTGCTGTTCTCGGGAAGTTGGCCCTTTCCCAAGAGAAGGAATGTGGGGCAGCATCATCACAGTGAGCAGTCTTGCTAATAAGGAAGTGTGGCTGCGATTCCAAAGAGGGAAGATGACTCAGAGTAAGGCGCATAACATATTCCCTGGTTACTAATCTTCTGTAGGCATGCATGTATTCATTCATTCCTTCATTCACTCATTCTTGAAACATGTACTGAGCATGTAGATGGAAAGGCAGAATTCAGATTCAGCTCTACCACCTACTAGCTATGTAATCTCAGCAGGTTAGTTAGCCTCCCTGAGCCTTTGTTTCTTTAACTATAGAATGGCTATAACACCTCTTGTTGAAGCAAATAGAAAGGACAGGATGCCAGTGAAATTTGAACATCAGATAAAACAAGGGCTATTTTTTAGTATAAGTTATGTCCTGAATATTGCATGCTTGTCTGACATTAAGTTTTAACTCTGCATCCAGTATTTTCACTGCAACCCTACGTGGGGATAAAGATGAAGGGAAAAAGGCCTGATTTGGAGGAGCACATGGTAGTGGAAGGACAGGTGTGAAGAATGTCATTGTGATGCTGGACTATGTAACTCATGTCAGAGGTATAGACAGAGTGCTGTGGACAAAGACATCCCTCTCTGGGCTCTGAAGACATCCAGATCACCATTGCCGATTGCTGGATTGCTTGTTGAAGCCCCCAGTGACCGTGGGACTGACCCCAAAAGAGCACAAAGTGTGTGCACAGTAAGTGAGATGGACAGTCGAAGTTTTTCTGTCGAGTAATTGGGAAGATGAACTCTGTTTTCATCCCTCTCAAAGCAAAAGGCGATCTTTGATGATCAGGAAACAGATGATCCATTACCTCAATTATTTTTATAGGCTATTTAAAAATAAAATGAAATTAATTCAGGGGGAAAATCATATTGTTCCTCGACTTTGTGGAATGTGTGTCTTTCAGATAAAATGCTAATAATTCATTATTCTGCTTTCCTGGAGATCCAGATATAAATTTGCCATGTGCCACCCAGAGATCTAATAGGAGACACACAATTGAAGGCTTTGGTTCCAAACTTCTGCTTACCCAAAGCCTCTCTTTGGGTAAAGCTGCAAGCATCAAAATACTAGGAGAACAGTTTGGGAATATTCTGTAAAAAGTGATATCTGCCAGACACATTCTTGTCTTCCCTTGCAAATGCATGGCCTGGTATTGAACATGGTCTAATCAGCATTACTGAAGGCTTCCTCTTCTTTCCCAGATGTGGCAGGGGATAGTTTAGCCTGAGGAGGTTGTTTGAAGACCCCCAAAAGCCTCAAGGCAATTCTGGAGTCCCCCCAGTTGCTTGCAGCCACCTCTAGAAATTGAACTCCCCGTGAGGTTTGAATTTTCTATTTCACCACAGTGAGGGATGGGAGGGAGTCAAAGGTAGGCTTTGTGCTGATGGGATTGGCAAAGGGGAAAAAGCAGGGGAGTCAGGGGAGGAGGTGGGGTGCATCACAGGGTTATAAAAAGCGTTGTTCAATTACAGGATTCACAGCTAATTTTAATTGATTAGTAAGTGCCAGGCACTGTGCTAAGTACTTTTCATATGGCATCTCTTTGATCCCCAACCTAACCTTATGCAATAGGTGCCTGGGTTCCACTTTACAGATTGGAGGCCAAGTGTTTGATCAAATTAGCTGCCCAAGGAAACATGCAAGGCTAATAAGTGGCCCCTGGCTTTCTGGTTGCAAAGCCCTTGCGCTTAACCACTGTGTTCTACTGCATTTTGCCACCAGACTTTCTCTAAAGTATCCCATTTGATTCAGGTACTTCTGCTCTGTCTGCTGTAGTGAGTGGAGGATTGGCCTGGCTTCTAGTGCCTCCTCCCAATGGACCTCACACTCATTACCTGTGGAAAGTCGTGGGGCCTTCCCTAAGGGATCAGCCTCCTTATCACTAAAATGATGGGTCAGGCTAAGTGAGTAGGAGTCTTCTGATCTGAAATTTTGTGTATCCTACCAATGATAAGCCATTTTGTTTCATTCACTTACCTCTTCATTAGTTGATTAATTAATTCACTCAATAAATATCTCTCTTCTGCCAAGTATGTGCCCCAGATATAATGGTGAGTAAGCAGCTGGTTCCCACCCTTGCAGAGCATGGGGTCTAGGGGAGAGACAGCCGAGTAAACAGGCTATAGTGGTTCAGGGTGAAAAGAGCTGTTTGGAGGTAAGTGCCGGGTGCTGTAGGGTCACCCGTATAGGACTTGGTGGGGTCAGATGAGGCTCTGGTGGAGGGAAGGACATCTAAGGTAGAAGCTGAAGGATGTGCAGGAGTTGGCCGGGCTAGAGGAACACTTTGTTCAAAGGGAGGGCACATGTGGTGCACTTGAGAGCTGTGCTGACTCTCTGGTTGGAGGATGGAGTGCACTGGGTTGGGGGTGGGAGGGGTACAGACTGGAGGGGGAAGAGGGTACAGAAATAGATGAGGGCCACATTGTGCAGGACCTCAGGGCACCTGGGAGGAGTTTGGTGTTTGTTCTCAGAGCAGTAGACAGACACTGAAGGTCAGGGCTATCCTGGGTGGTTTCCCAGGTTGGGCCCTGCACAAGGGTGTCAGTTTAGGGGAGCCCTGTGCTCACCAGGCCATGGGCCCCACTGTAGGGCTTGTGTCTGCCTGTAAGAGGACACCTTTTTCTTTTTTTTTTCCTTTTTTTTTAACATTTTTTATTGATTTATAATCATTTTACAATGTTGGAGGACACCTTTTTCTTAATCTTACCAAGGAGCATTAAAGGCCGGTACATCCCTCGATATCAGGAGAATGATGTGATCAGATTTGTGTTTTTGAGCCTTTTCTCTGGTTGCAGGATTTGCTGGATGAAGGATCAGGGAGGAGGGAGGTGGAGAATGGTTGGGGGTGGGGGGGAGGCAGTAAAGAGATGGTGGCAGCCTGGGGAGGCAGTAAGGATGGAGACAAGTGAATGGGTTTGAGATATAGAAGAAGTCGTGGTCTGTATAACCACCTTGTTCTCACTGCCTCCTGTAACTTAGTGAGGCAAGGACTTTCTTTCAGGAGCAGAAATACTATCATGGAGAAGCTGAGCTTACAGGCTAAGTGCTTTGCCCCCAGGCTCCTGAGAAAGCCAGCGTTCAGTGTTGTCCCCTACTCTCCAGCTCACACTCAGGTATTTGATCCAACTGCAGGGGGCGCATTAGATGAAGACCACATGGTCTAGCAGTCAGACTCAAGGCCAAGAGCTCAGAGACCCAGATATGAAATTCCCCTTAGGCTGCTCTTCTGTGTTTCCTAACGGCATTATCCCTGCCTCTCTTTATACCCAGACGTTTGTGGAGTGCCTGCTAAGTGCCTGGCTCTGTGCCCAGCATGGTGGGGGAGACAAAGCCCCAAGGCACGGTCTCAGCCCTCGAGGACTTACCAGCTGGGCAGTAATGAGCCAGCGGTCAACCAATAAAGACTACTGAGAGGTGCTCAAGGAATGTTCCAGATAATTAGTGTGGAGGGAGGCAGAGCACAGTGGGTATTGACGTGGGATCTGGAGTCAGACAGAACTGGGTTGAACATCTGGCTTTGGAAACATTTCCTAGTTGTGATCCAAGGCCAGTCCCATAACCTCCCTGAGCGTGAGTTTGCCTACCTGTAAAATGGGGATAGTAATACTCAAGTGGATTAAGGATTAAATAATTCAAGGCATATAAAGTACTTAGCAGAGTGTCTACTAGAGGGTAACCATTTATAACATTGATTAGATTAGGCTTTTTTTGTGTGTGTCTTTGGTGTACAGTTCTGACAAATGCATAGTCATGTAACCAGTCTTACACAAACAAGATACAGACTATTCTACTGCCTCTCTGCCAAATTGCCTTGTCTTATTCCTTTGTAGTAAACCCTCCCCATACTCTTTGTTTCCTTATGGTAATTTATTGTCTCTTAGTTTTTGCAACAGCTTTTTTAAGATGTAATTCAAACACCGTACAATTCACCTATTTAAAATGTACAATTCCATGGTTTTGAATATCTTCACACAGTTGTATAACAGTCACCACAATTTTAGGACACTTTCATCACCCCCACAAGAAACCCTGTACCCTTTAGCAGTCACAGTCTGTTCCTGCTAACTATCCCCTCCTCCCTTGTCCCAGCCTTTGACATTCACTGATCTACTTCTATGTATTTGCCTTGTCTGCACATTCATATAAATGGAATCATACACTATCTGGTTTTCTAGCACTGACTTCTTCACTGAGCAGAATATTGTCAAGGTTCATTCATATGGTAGAATGTGTCAGTGCTTGATTCCTTTTGACCACTGAATAATACTCCATTTTATATGGACGTACTATGTTTTGCTTATCGATTTGTCAGTTGGTGGACATTTGGGTTGTTTCTGCTTTTTGGCTGTTATCAACACTGGTGTACAAATCTTTACATAGGCTTATGTTTTCACATGGACTTGCTGGGCCATCGGGTAACTATGTGTTATCTTTTTGAAGAACTGCCCTGTTCCTCAAAAGGAACTCTGAGGACTATTTTCCACAGCAGCTGTTCCATTTTACAATTCCACCAGCGCTGTCTGAGGGCTCCAATCTCTGCACATCCTTGCCAACACTTGTTATTATCTGCATTTTTGATTCTAGCCATCCAAGTGGGTGCGAAGTGGTGTCTCAATGTCTAGCTGCCCCATACGTACCCTTAACCCCTGGCAACTACTGATTTACTCTCTGGCCGCCATTTTGCCTTTTCCAGAAGGTGATATCTCTAATCATACATGATGTTGCCTCTTGACTCTCCTTCTTCCCTCCAGCATAAGGCACTGGAGACTCAGCCATGTGGTTGTGCAGCTTTTTGTTGCTGAGTTGCATTTCCTTGCATGCACGGATGGACCACCCTAGAGGCCCCTGCTTATATGCACAGTAAAGTTAAATGAATCCCTTGCCCAGTGAATCAAAGACTAAGCCTCACATCTTTTTAGGGCTTTTTATAGTTTGGGAGGCCTTTTCTGAGCCTCCCAGTGTTGCAGGACACCCAGCCTCTCCCTCTTGTAGGTCCCTCTGAGTGCAGAGCTGAGCCTGACATCAGTGAGCTGGATCCTCCTGAAAGCGGAGACCCACTAGGATTAGAATTTTTCTGTCGTGGCTCTGACATGCCGTTCGTGGCAGTAGGTCTCTGTGTGGGGGCCACAGTCCAGTGAGACAGATGGAGCCCGGGCCACTGGAACAGCTGCTGCTGGGGAGCCAGGGCCTCTGCTGCCCGGCTGTCTCCTTTCTCAGCGGGAAGCCCCAGAAGCTCCTCAGGCTGATAAATAAAGCTGTTTTCTCATTCCTTTATCTGTTTTCATGACTGGCTTGCAACTTTTGAGTATTTGCTACTTCCCTCCCTCCCACTCCTGAGTGTAGCAGTTTTCCAACTCACCATTACAGGCATGGGAGGCAATATGATGTAATAATAATAAACAAATAATGAATTTGCACCTACGAGAATCTACATCAGAATCTCTGAGGTAGGCATAATCACTTTATGCAGGAAGAAATCAAGGTCCCAGGTGGATAAATAACTCCTTCAAAGTCACCCCACTAGTAAGAAGCAGGCCTGGGGTTTGAACCTGCCATCTGTTCTTTCATCAGCTCCCAGAGATCTCAAACCTCTGTCATTTGCAAACCACCTTCATGAGTTCCTTCTACCACCGGCACTTTCGTTATCTAACATTTTTATTATAATCAACTTCACATTAACAGTTTTTGTTCATCATCAGAAATACATCCAGCATGTGAATGCATGTGACACAGAGGGTTTGATGTGTTAGGTGTATATTTTGTGTGTCATATATGAAAATAAACGCATAACAGAATAAAAATGTTCATCCATATATCACCTAAAATCAGCTCACATCTACCAGCGCTATGTGGACCACACTTTGGGGAAGGAAATGTATGATATGTGGTGATTTGCTTCCTGGTTTGTCTTTCCCCTCAATGGGGAATGACAAGCAGGCTGTGCCTGTGATTTATTCATCTCGGCATCCTCAGCATCATGCACTGTAGCAAACCCATTACTGGCACTTGCTCTGTGATTGATGGTAAATGATAGAATGAATGGAGTGAGAAAGAGAGTGAGTGGCATTTCCCCTTCCATATGGAGAAGACCGGAAGGAAACCTCCTTACCTGACCGTTGATGACATGGGGAGGCTGGCAGGGAGCTGGGGCCTTATCACTAGGGGGACAAGAGTGCTTAGAAGCTCTGATTGCTGTGGGCACCACAGAGATGTTGGGAGGCTGACATTCTCTGTGTGAAGCCCTTCCAGCCTTCTCAAGCTCTTGGTTTGTGGGATTGTGGACACTGTCATCTAACTACAGTCCATCCAGCCACTTTGATTTCTGGATGTGGAAGAATCAGCCTGCATCTGACAGTTTCTCTCAACAAATGAGCTCCCACCCTGTGTGCCACTTCCTCCTCTGGCTCTCTTCACAAAGTCCGACAGCACTCCAGGCAGATTCTGCACCATCTCTTCTAGAGGAAAATGCAGCAGCAACCATCTCAGGAGCCATTGAGACCACAGAGCCTTATTTAAATATTAGGATTGAATTCGAAGATCTGTCAGTGAACCCATTAGCCAGAATTTACTGAGGACCTACTATGTGCTGACCGCTGGGCTGAGTGCCTTTGAATTCTCTCCTACTTTAGAATCAGACAATCTTGGCATAGACATTGAAGCCAGAACTTGATTTTTGAGTTTAAAAGGAAAAACTCAGCTCAACAAATATTTGTTGAAGCCCAACTGTATGGGGGTGGGGGAAGCGGAGAGGGCTGAACTCAGCCTTGAGGATACAAAGATAGTAAGTTCTTGCCCTGAGGAATCTTGTTGAATTATGGTTGGGAAGTTGCATGTGCACTGGGCAGTGTCTTGAAATGTCTCAGTACTTGTCCCTGGAGATAGCCAGCATATCACGGGCACGTTCAGCAGGCAAATATCAATCATGAATCCAGTCAATACTTGTGAGGTATCTGCTGCAAGGATGGCAAGTGTATGGTACACGTGTGCTCCTGCTCTTACGAGCTGCTCCCCGCTGGGTGTCCCGGAGGTGGCCTCTGCATCCTTCAGTGCCCCAGGCATTCAGAGTTGGTCTTTGAAGTGAAATCTGCAGCTCTTTCTCTTTCTGCATACTTGAAAGGCACTGGGGCTAAAATATCCTCTTTTATGAAATGATGATGCTCAGAGCACTCGGTGGCACTGCATAGGCTGTGCATCATCCAACTCCTAGGGTACCATTCACTCAGGTATCATGTGCTCGGCGGACTCTGGTCCATCCAGTGTGGCCCAGAAGGAGTAGGAGATGGTATTGATATTTCTGAGCTTTTAAAGCACTTACTCAGCAAAATAACAAAGTACGCACCCATATTGTTGATCTACAACTATTACAAGACTACTCCTTGTCTGTGAAATTCCTTCCTTCCTTTGCTTCCTTCCTCCCTTCCCACTCTTTTTCCCTTCTTCCCTCTGTCCCCCTCTCCCCCTCCCTCTCTCCCTCTGTCCTTCTTTCTCTTCCTTCCACAAATACTAGATTACCTACCCAGATGCTATTCTGGGATAAATGGTAAACTAAACAGACAACCCCTTTGCCCTTATGGAGCCCACATTCTGCTGGAGGAGACAGAAATAAATAAAATCAATGATATAAAATATATAGTATATTGTGCCAGGATAAGTGCCACAGAGAAAAGTAAAGCAGGGAATGGGGATAGTAAATGTTGGAAAACTGTGATTTTGGATAGGGTGATAGGGTAGAGACTGAAGAAGCTAGTGATCTTTTAGTAAAGACCTTCAAAGAGGTTAGGGAATGAGCTATACAGATAACCGAGGAAGGGGCTTCTAGGCAGCAGGGACAGCACATGCAAAGGCCCTGAGGTAGGTGTCTGGTGTGTTTGAAGACTAATGAGGAGGCTGGCTGGAGTGGGTTCAAGGGAAAAGTGTAGGAGATAAGTTCAGGCAGGTAATGAGGGTTGAGGGCCAGGCCTTGTGAGAGTTTGGGAATCTATTCAAAATAATGGTTCTCAAAGTGTAGTCTCTGAACCACCCCTGTTCCACTGGGGGTTGGGGCCACAATCTTGAAACAAGCCCTCCTGGGGGATTCTGATGCTCACTGAAATATGAGAGCCACTGATACCAAACACCTAGGCCTCTCCAGACCAACAGGATGTGCTATTATTCCCTCTGGTGTGTAGTATACAACAGATGGGGTAATCATCATTGACCTGACCTCTTAACCTCAAGAAATGCCATCATCTTAGTGTCTGGAAGTTGACAGTCAGACTAATAAAAAAAAGTTAGATCCTGTGCCTATGCTCAAACCAGGGTCAGGTGACTGCAAGGGACAAGAGATGGGAGGCAGGGCTGCATGGGCCAGTGCCTCAGAGATGGGATCATTGGCTGTCAGGGTGGAGAGGCCCTGAGGACATCCAGTCCTGTCCCCAAATTTGTCAGAGAAGACTGAGGAAAGAAAGGGGAAATGACAGCTAATTAGATACATGTGGGATTTCCATGGGTTATCTGGACTTCTAGGTACCTGCTCCCTTTCAAATTGTGCCAGTAGGCCTAGAACTTCCTGCTGCTGGGTAGATGTAGGGGTGTTGGCAGTGTAGGTAGGTGCAGGGGGCATGAGTGGTGTAGGTATGCGTAGGGGACATCAGTGATGTAGGCAGATGTAGGTGGACATTGGTGGGATAGGTAGGTATAGGGGATGGTGTGTCGGTATGTGTGGGGGATATTGGTGGTGTAGGAGTGTATCAGAAAGAGGTGGGAGGTGGTTGGAGGAGGATGAGGAGAAGAAACACCTCATCAGGGGCTTTGAGGGAACAGTTTATAGACCATTTGAGGAGTGGGAAGAGTTCTGAGTGTCTGGAGCTGAGCCAGTAGGATAAGGTGGAGGGCCAGATCCAAAGGCCTTGAATGCCATGCTAAGTGGTTGGGACTTTAATCTTTGGCAGTGAAGGCCCCGAAGTCCCAGGCACCCATTTCCTGATAGTTGTTTCCAGGCTGTTGAAAGCTCCTTGCCTGGGTCAACACCTCCCCTACCCAGCCAGTACTGATTGTTCTACAGGGCTCCTACAGAACCCTGCCCCGACTTCTTTCAGAACAGAGTCAGAACAACCGGATCCTCAACGGATAGGTCAGAAAAGACTGAGCACAGTCCTGGGCACCTAATCACTCTGTTTCCACAGTGCAGGGTGGGGATGGGGGTGGGGGTCAGGCCCATCTGAGCCTCAGAAGCAGGGGCTGAGCTTCCTCAGGAGTTCTCTTCATCAGCCACAGTACACTTGACTTTTTGAAAAATGAAAAATATCTTCTTTCCTTTCTTTTTTTTAAATTGAAGTATAGTTGATTTACAATGTTGTATAAGTTTCTGGTGTATAGCATAGTGATTTAGTTATACACATTTATATATCTATTCTTTTTCATTACAGGTTACTATAAAAGCCTTTGAATATGGTTTCCTGTGCTATACAGTAGGACCTTGTGGTTCATCTATTTTATATATAGTAGTTAGTATCCACCAATACCAAACTCCCAATTTATCCCTCCTTTCTCCTTCTCCACTCCATAACCATAAATTTGTTTTCTATGTCTGTGAGTCTTTTTGTTTTGTAAATTAGTTCATTTGTGTCTTTTTT